TTCGCGTTCGCCACGGATGGCGAACATATGCGATGTTCGGTCCGCCCCCTATTAATTTACTAATACTAAGTAAAAATTACTTAGTATTAGTAAATTGTGCCCCTACTCGCAATACTGCGAGTAGGGGCATGTCTATTAAACAGTGAGCAGCCTGTGGCTGATAATGAGGGGGGGACCTACTGTCCACCCCCCCTCCGGCCCCCACCCCTGGGCGGCGGGTGGGGGCCATAAAGTTAATGAAGCAGGGGGACCTACTGTCCTCCCCCCCGGCCCCCACCCCTGGGCTGCGGGTGGGGGCCCTAAGTAAATTCCCCCCCAAGGTGACTAGGGGTCCCCAAGCCCCTGGTCACCCCCCCCAAATAAAAAGTCCCTACCTACCCCCCTCACCCTAAAAAATAGTGAGGGGGGAATAAAATAACTAACCTGTAAAATAAAATTAAACTTACCATTTGACGTCTTCTTTTTTCTCAAATCTTCATTTTTCAGCCACAAAAAAGGCCAAATAAAAAACCAACATAACCGTCGAACTAAAAAAAAAAAAAAATCCTGAGCGCAAAAAAAAAACCCCGACGATAAAGAAAAAACCCGAGCGCAAAAAAATAATCCATCTTCACCCATGGAGGGCTCCGTGCAGACTGAGCTCCGCAGGGCGGGGGAAGGCTTATAAAGCCTTGCCCCGCCCTGCAATTAGGCTAAGAACACTCTGATTGGTGGGTTTAAGCCAATCAGAGTGCTCTTTGTCATTTTACCCAAACGTTTCCTGTAGTTGCAGATCAGACGTGCACAACAGTCAGGAGTAATTCTTGACCATTCCTCTTTACAGAACTGTTTCAGTTCAGCAATATTCTTGGGATGTCTGGTGTGAATTGCTTTCTTGAGGTCATGCCACAGCATCTCAATCGAGTTGAGGTCAGGACTCTGACTGGGCCACTTCAGAAGGCATATTTTCTTCTGTTTAAGTCATTCTATTGTTGATTTACTTCTATGCTTTGGGTCATTGTCCTGTTGCAACACTCATCTTCTGTTGAGCATCAGCTGGTAGACAGATGGCCTTAAGTTCTCCTGCAAAATGTCTTGATAAACTTGGGAATTCATTTTTCATTTGATGATAGCAATCTGTTCAGGCCCTGACGCAGCAAAGCAGCCCCAAACCATGATGCCCCCCATACTTCACAGTTGGGATGAGGTTTTGATGTTGGTGTTGGTGTGCTGCGCCTTTTTTTTCACCACACATAGTGTTGTGTGTTTCTTCCAAACAACTCAACTTTGGTTTCATCTGTCCACAGAATATTTTGCCAGTACTGCTGTGGAACATCCAGGTGCTCTTGTGCAAACTGTAAACGTGCAGCAATGTTTTGTTTGGGCAGCAGTGGCTTCCTCTGTGGTATCCTCCCATGAAATCCATTCTTGTTTAGTGTTTTACGTATTGTAGATTCGCTAACAGGGATGTTAGCATTTGCCAGTGACTTTTGTAAGTCTTTAGCTTACACTCTAGGATTCTTCTTCACCTCATTGAGCAGTCTGCGCTGTGCTCTTGCAGTCATCTTTACAGGACGGCCACTCCTAGGGAGAGTAGCAGCAGTGCTGAACTGTCTCCATTTATGGACAATTTGTCTTACTGTGGACTGATGAACAGCAAGGTTTTTGGAGATACTTTTATAACCCTTTCCAGCTTTATGCAAGTCAACAATTCTTAATCGTAGGTTTTCTGAGAGCTCTTTTGTGTGAGGCATCATTCACATCAGGCAATGCTTCTTGTGAAAAGCAAACCCAGAACTGGTGTGTGTTTTTTATAGGGAAGGGCAGCTGTAACCAACACCTCCAATCTCATCTCATTGATTGGACTCCAGTTGGCTGACATCTCACTCCAATTAGCTCTTGAGATGTCATTAGTCTAGGGGTTCACATACCTTTTCCACCTGCAATGTGAATGTTTACATGGTGTGTTCAATTGAAACATGGCAACATTTCATTATTTGTGTTTTATTAGTTTAGGCAGACTGTGATTGTCTATTGTTGTGACTTAGATGATGATCTGATCTCATTTTATGGCCAATTTGTGCAGAAATCCATATCATTCCAAAGGGTTCACATACTTTTTCTTGCAACTGTATATACATGCACACACATACATATACTGCTGTTTGTGTGTGTGTGTGTGTGCTGTTAGTGCTCTGTGTGAGGGTGCTGTGTGTGAGGGTGCCGTTAGTGTGATGTGTGTGTGAGGGTGTTGGTAGTGTGCAATGTGGGTGAGGGTGCTGTTAGTGTGCTGTGTGTGAGGGTGTGGTTTGTGTGTGAGGGTGCTGTTTGTGTGCTGTGTGTGAGGGTGCTGGTAGTGTGCTGTGTGTGAGGGTGTTTGTGAATGAGTGTTAGGGTCCTGTTAGTGTGCTGTGTGTGTGAGGGTGCTGTTTGTGTGATGTGTGTGTGAGGGTGCTGTTTGTGTTGTGTATTTGTGAGGGTGCTGTTAGTGTGCTGTGTGTGCTGTTTGTGTGAGGGTGCTGTGTGTGATTGTGAGGATGCTGTTAGTGTGCTGTGTGTGAGGGTGTTGTGTGTTTGTAAGGGTGCTGTGTGTGTGTGTTTGTGAGGGTGCTGTTAGTGTACTGTGTGTGTGAGCGTGCTGTGTGTGTATGTTTGTGAGGATGCTCTGTGTGTGAGGGTGCTGTATGTGTGTGGGTGCTGTTTGTGTGCTAGGGTGCAGTTTCTGTGCTGTGTGTGTGAGGGTGCTGTGTGCGCACTGTTTGTGTTAGGGTGCTGTATGTGTGTAGGTGCTGTGTGTGTGGGTGCTGTATGTGTGTGTGTGCTGTATGTTTGGAGGGATTGTGAAGGTGGGGGCAGATTAGTAAATAACCCCCCTCCCTTCTTACCTTATGTAGGGAGGGGGGATCCTTGCTGCCATGTGCCATCCCTCGCGAGAGGAACCTGGCAGAGCTTCTGTCTAGAGCTCCCTGGGTCCTCGTCTGCCTCCCTCCATGCTGCTGTGGGCTGGTGAGGTAGATCTTTGATCTCCCCGCCGGCCCATGGAGGCTTAGAGCAGAGCCGGCACTCAGATAGCGCCAGCTTTGCATGAGCTGACAGGGGAGATCTGGAGATCTCCCCTGCCGGCAGGGGTCAAGTCCTGGGGAATAAAGTGTGGGAACTCTCCCAAGATTCCCACCCCCCCCCCAAAAAAAAATATACACTTGTGTGTGTGTGTATATATATATATATACATATATATATATATACGCGTACACACACATACACTCACACATACATGATCAGACACCACACACACACATATATTCACAGACACACATACACACACACACACTTACAGACACATGCACTCACAGACACACACACACACACATTTACAGACACTCACACACACTCACAGACACTCACACATATACATTCACAGACACACACACACACTTACAGACACATAAATTATTATTTTTTAATAAAAAATTGTCCACCAAGCCTCCCTACCTGGAGAGCTGGCGTGGACCTGTCCCTGGGGTCCAGTGGGGCAGGCGCCTAGCTCCATATCACAAGCGGTGAGGGAGCTGTGTGCTCTCTGCTCCTTCTCGCCACGCGGGCTGTCTGCTGTAGCTGGAAGCTGGAATATGACGGATCCCGGCATCAGCAAACGGCGCGTGGCGAGAGGGAGCAGAGAGCACACAGCTCCCTCGCCACTTGTGATATGGAGATAGGCGCCGGGGGGGAGAGGGGTGTCCATCACCTCTTCTTCCCCCACCCCATGACAGGGGAACACGGGGGGGGGGGAGGAGGAGGACATTTGGGGGCGGCAGAGTGCATGCAGGAACAGCGGGAACGGTGTTCCCACGCGTTCCTGCAGGACTCACAGGCGTGCCGCGGGGATTAGGTTGTGCCCAGGCCTTTTTTTTATATGTCCTCTTACTTCAATGTTCTGGTTACTGCCAGAATATGCTAGCATTCAATGTGAATGCAGGTTTATTCACTAAAATGAGAATTGCTGGACATTCTAAGTGAATTTGAGATTTAAGGTCAAAATAGCCAAAATGACAATAGAATTGACTTGAAGAATGTCTCCAATTCTGATTTTTTGTAAAATTCACTTTAAATTTACTTTGCATTCCTGGAAATTATCACAATAATGAATAACTTTGTTATTTGCTCTGTCCATATAACGTGTCTACATCACACACCATTCACAGCTCTATTTAAAGATTCACAGCTCTATGACTCTGACATGGTTAATTCAGGCACCATTGTAGGTACTGTTAGGACAAGATCAGAAAGGGCACAGCGGTCTCCTTCGTCTACTCATTCTACTGGCCTTTAAACTACCCAGCAAATGTGAGTAATGGTCTCAGCCTGTGCAGTAATTATGTTGGAGTGTTAAAATATAAAGAGCATTCTCCTAAATCATTAGTGATGGCTGCTTGTCATACACTGTGGAGATGTAGTAATTTCATTATTTTCCCCTGTCTTTGTTCCTCTCAAAATAGATGAAAGCAAATTTGGACTGAAAATACATGGCAGATGCTAGAATGGTATTTATTCACCAAAACCACTGAGGTCATTCATTAAAATCTCCATTTTAATTAGCAAACACCTGTTTTCTGTTTGATTTTACACTGATATGTACAATCTGCAATTTGCTTTCTTCAGTGCAAGCGATTTAACAGCTCCGACAGTAGCAGTTAATCTAATTAGGATATGCTACTCCCGAGGCATTAGATTGTCTTCAGGAAACGACTGAAGCGTGATCGGCCTTCCTCGATACGGGCACAGTGTGAGAAGCTCTGTTACAACCTCTTGGCAGAGTAGTTTTCGTGTTTTGCCCCGTAAGGAACCTCATATTAGATCAAGGATAAGTAATGGGAGGCACTCCAGGTGCTATGAACTACCTTGCCCAGTATGTTCAGCCAGCCAACCAGCCAGCCAAAGATTATCTGTTGTTCATCTTCAGCAAGAGATAGTACAACAGTGGAACCCTCAAAATAACATTCTGTCTATTCTGCTACCGCCATCTGATTTAATGACAGTTAAATTGTTGCATTAAAGTGAACCTGTCATGACAAATATAGGTTTTTAGTTTTCTAACCATCTGAATTGCCTTATTTTATACAATTAAGTGTTTCTTCCCTTAATACCGTTAAAAGCTTGTATTTAAATGTATTTTCATTACTCCTGTCTCCTGCTGAAAGAATCCATCAATCATGTTTCAGTGGGTGTTCCATTTGCTGTAAAACACATCTCTCCCGCATAACCCTGTTTGGGAAGCAAATACTTGCTTCACATAATTATTTATGTCGGCTCTGAATAATTGAACTTTATTTGTCCTGTTTGCATTCTCAGATTGTCTGTCTAAAGTTGCTGCAATAAATAATTCTGTCTCTTTCTCTCCGTTCTGCTGCTGTTGCTCTCACATAGTGCCTGCCCCTGCACCTTTCTCCCCCTAGCATGAATTCATGCAGTAGAGATGTCTAGATGAGGGTTTCATTGATAAGAGACATGCAGAGCTGATTGGCACATGTTCAGCACAAACTGAACTGTCTGAGAGCAAGGGGAAAAGGCTGTTGTTTTAACCTCTGATTTTAGAAAGAAAATGTAGACATTTGCTCACAATTCTGCCTGCACAATGTATAGATGACATCTGATTCACTATCATTTAAGATTAAGTTGTATTTGTCATGACAGGTACCCTTTAAAACTGCTAACGTTGCTAAGACTAACATTGTTTTTCTGGAGTGCAGGGTCTGCAACTTAATTTAAATCATAAAATAAAAATATGAACGTTCCTGCAGCCAGGTTATTTGTTATATTTATACAAAGGAACTTGGACTGAGGTACTAGGTGTGCATGGCAAATCTCTCTGTGTGCATGAAGAGGAGCATTAAACTCCACTCTCTGTTGTGTTTAGCCTTATACCCAGATGGTCTTTTGGTCCCCTTATGCAAATGTTGCCTACTTGTGTTGCTTTTTATTTCCCTTTTGCCAGACATACAGGTTTATTCACTAAAGTGAGAATTGCCCAAAAAAAAATCAAACAGAACAAAATAGCCAAACTGTAAACAGATTTTTTTTAATTTGGCTATTGTGGCCTAAATGGTGAGATTCACTTTGAATTCACTGCAAATTGAATAATCCTTTCTTCCTCTGTCCTCCGGTATTTCAACAATCAAGAAACCATGGAAACACAGTCACACAATATCAGTAGGAACCTACACCTTCAGGTTTCCAATGCATTAATAGATAATTTTTATACTCTCCAATATTAAATGAGCCTTTTAGTCCGTTGAGACAAAAGATGACCTGTCAGTAGGTCTTTGTCAAGGCTATTTGAGTGGACAGCTGTATCAGAGTCAACGAGACAAGTAAAACGCTTGGTATATGGCAGATTTTTGAGCTGCCTGCTTAGTAAAAAAAAAGTTAATTTTTACTGTATTAGACACAATGGGCACAGTTAATGTGTGCAGATTTAAATATATGTATAGTAAGCCAATGATGTATGTGGAGAGGTGACGAGTATGTGAAAACAGAATTGGTTTTATTTTTGTGTATGTGGAAAGGGAATTTACAGCGTACACACTACATATGCAGTAATATTGATACCTATTCATACGCACAACACATGCACAATCACACACACATACACACACACACACACACAATCTCTTACACACAAACCAATCACAAATGCAAATGTCAATTGTATATAATAGTTCAATTCTGAGACAGGAAAAAGGAAATATAGCATTTTCTATATTTTATAGCAAATATCCTAGTCTAGAACACCCCTCAGCTTGCGAAGTGTCCAATACCTGCAACATTATGTTATATGTCTATTATGGTAATTTATTTGACATAAGTATAAATATTGTGTTATATATATTTTTAACTCCTATTAAGATCAATTAATGCTGGATAAGGGGTGGTACAGGCCAATAGGCGGTGTGCCAGAATAAAAAGTTACAAGTACATTTTATTCTGTCACAAGTGCCATTTTATTTTTAATGAATGTGCTCACACCGTGCTTATCAATTGCTTATCTATAATGTCCCTCTTCTTGGATAGAATGAGTGGAACCCAGAGTCAGGGCTGGTCTGCTGAATCCAGGATAGTTAACCTGCAGTAGGTCCATAAATTGACCTTAACTTGGAAGGAGCTCTCACTGTAATCATTGGACAATAAATACTAGAAAAGAATGGTCTCGTTTTCCACATGAAGTAGCAGTTGATTCTGTTACTTTCAACCCTGACAACTTTCTACAAAATTAAACATTAGCTGCATATTCTACAGTGGAAGAAAAATGCTAATTAATTCATTCTGTGTGTGTTTTTTATTTACCAAATGGTTTCACATAGGATTTCTTCCATCTAGTCATTTAGTTCATATATGGTGTCTTTTTATGTCTAGTTAATTATTGTATGCAAATGTTTAAATGTAGAACATGCCCCCTGCCATGCTACACTTTAATACTACAAAACAATAGTCATTACCTAGCCAGACTCCTATTGGGGCCCTGGTTAAATCTGTGTTTGTTTGTTTGTTTGTTTTTTTGTAGTTGTTTTGTTTACTGAACGGGCAAGACAATGGACCCTAACACCTGTCTATAAACCTTTCCTACAATAGCCCATCGAATGGGGACTTCGTCTGTCACTTTCTGTGTGCTCGTAATTATTACATTTAATTTTAATGTATTACCCTGCTACTACATTTCTGATCTATATAAGAAGAGTCACACCAAACATCATTTTCACAATGGTAATTGCAATAGACTCCAGTGTGCAGAAAAATGAATGAAGTTGGTATTTGAAAATTTTGCATTACCTTTATCCATCCAGAACAAATGCAAATATTTATGCGCATATTGCTCTGTGTCTAATAGGACACAGTTATAAACTGCAGTTAGTAGGAGCATCAATGGCGAGAGGAGAATTTTATATGCAAACTATAGAAATATGCAGCGACACAATTTATGGCACAATAATTGCACTTTTATAGATAGCAGGAAGAGTCCCTCTGCAGAAGATGCATCAGCTCGGCTTGCCAAGTGTATTTTATTACTCATAAAACAGGACAGAGAGGTGCATTGTTGGAACAATTATCACTTAACAGTGTGTGCAATCTCCAGGCAGCCTTCATTACAAACCAATAATTGTGATCCGGTAAGCCGCTCCCTGTAGGACACTCATACAAGGGTGAAAGTGGACTAATAAAATAGATATAGCAGACATAACCTCTAATATCTAAGAGCAGGTGAACTTCAACTCATGTTTTTCTCAGGAAAATAATGTGTGAGAATGTTCTTCAAAGCAGTTTGCCCAATTTACTTTAATGGGCCACTATAATGTCAAAAACACAAAACTGTCTAATCTTACAGTATTCCTGTCCCTAATACTATTAGGCACCCCATCTTCATTAAAAGGGTTAAAAAAAACAACCTTTTTTTTTACCTTGTTTTCAGTGCAGAGGCTCCCTTGGCACTGTTAACCTCTTCTCCACAGGTGCTGTTATGGAGGAGACAGAACCTTCTCTGGTGGGGTCTAATCCAATGCTCCTCATAGAGGAACACTGGGAACCTAATGCACATGCAAGGTGAGCACTGCACGCACATTCAAAGTTTTCCATAGGAAAGCATTGGTTCTATGATGGATGGATGAAGTGGGAGGAGATGTGCACACCCCAGGAGGACCAATGAGGTTGAAGAAGTGGCAATTTAAAGCGGGACTCTGTGGGGAGATTTATGGTTACATGTATTGTATATGCTTTTTAATTTTGGTCCCTGAGGAAGTCATGGGAGGATGAGAAGGACCTTGTTCGAGGTAGGAACACTTTGTGCGCTTGAAACATCTCAGTTCTTGTGTGTGCAATTAAATCCGGTGCTATATTGTATATATTGACTGTTTTACACTGTGTGATATTCTATTTTTTCGGTCTCAGCTGGTTCCCTGTCACCTACTAAGAAGGCTCCTTTTGGGAAGCTGTAATATATTCCTACACCATTTAAATATTCTGCTATAGTGGTAGTGGGATATATATTCATTTATATTTCTTTCTGCGCAATATTTTACATTGCAGGCTTAAGGGCACAGGATCACTGCACACAGACAATTTTATCAAGACAAAATGATTTGGGTGACTACTGTGGTCCCTTAAATCCAAATAATGCAATAGAGAATACTGATAATGTTTTAATGTTCCGGTCATGCATTAAAATAGAAAATATCCCATGTCTCTTGTGTTGTGAGCAAAGAAGCTTGAGGAACCTTTAGCACACTATTTACGTTACCCTTCAAGATACTGGCATGTTTCCAGTGCAAAAACTACTGCTGGGTTGTTTAATTCATTGAGATCCATATTTATATAAATGGCATACAAAGTGCTGAAATATCTACAAATCTCTCTTGCTTTAATATATGCATTAACCCATAGGTGTCAATTCATTTTATTGAACCCAGCCCCCTCCCCCACCCTCGCTCCAGCAGGATAATGATACACTGTATGTGATACTGCAATAAATCTCTCAGCACACAAGCAATCGCTGTGCTCAGTATCTGCATCAGTGAGGCAACCTATATACCACCAGCTGTACGTCTGCTGTGTGACATAAAAACCTAAACTATTGATGGGAAAAAGTTAATGTGCCTTACACTGACCTTTTCTGACTAGGTGAAAAAGTACAGACAGTGCAATCTGTTATCTCATTTTACATTGTGAATGGTTGAAGAACCTAATAATTCAAATTTCTTTAATTTAGTAAAACATGCCCTTCACACACATGTAAGGTTTTATTCATGTCCTAGCAACTGGGTATCTGCTACACACAGCATTGCCTCAATGATGTAGACGTGACCTGAGATTTAGTTCAACTTGAAGAAGTCTTGGAGCAGATGACATGGGAAATAGTGATGGTAGTTTGTGTGACATATGGATCGAATTGGCCAGGAGATATGGTGTATCAGTACAAAAATGTATTAGTATAATAATAGTATAGATATCCCTCACTTAGTTTTCAAGAATAGAGAACCCATACATGGTCCTAGGATAAACTATCCAGGTTTGCTGATGGTTATGATGGGCCTAATTATATAATTTGTTTAGATAAAAAAATACTTAAACAGGAATGCCTTCCTAATGCCCTGGATCTAGTGGGACAATGATGACTTGAAACCGGTCTGTACCGCCAACTTGGGTTATTTCTTTGATATCCAGCATCTCAGGAGAACTATAAAAATAAAATACTGTGCAGCTTTTGTTC